TGATAGACTGTAATTTCTTCAACTACATCGTTGTTTGCCTCCTACTGCAATTACATTTTTTGGGGTTAAAATGACACTATGATCTCTCTTCACAGACATACAGTTCTGTTGTACTGCCAGAACACCGGCAGCGGCGCCAGTAGTCTAGCTTAAGCTGACGGACCTGTAATCATAAGAAAGTGGGTTCCGGGGTTCAAAGCTCAACTCAAGAAATACAACTGCTCATGATATATCTTTACAGTTTTGTTGTTTTTACAGTCGCTTCTTTCTTTTGATTCATGGGCACATGCAACGCATTTTAAAATTATTTTTGTTGTTGCTCGGTGTTCTACAGTAAACCAAGCACCAGCACTGAATATGTTTTCCAAAAAAAATGCAAATGCGTGGTTTTAATATTTGAATTCTCTTTAAGATTTAAGATTTCTCAAGGGAAAAGTTATGATTATATTCAGTTTAAGACAGACAACTATACTAATACAGCAATAACTATACAGCCAAAGATTTTAAAAAATAATCATCTAAGAAAAATGTATTCAACAGATAAAATAATACAAACATTTAAATGACTCATTCGATTTTAATTAAAAAGCACGAAAGAACTGCTGTGGGACCCTTGCATCTTTGGAAAATCTGTACACAAAATTACAATTACTTCCTGCACTGGTGAAGTGGTCAGTCAAAACAAGTTTACAAAATCATCAAAAAAATGTTTCAGTACTTGAATTACTTGAATGGAGAACTGGGGTCTTAGTTCCGAAGACGGGGTGCTCCATGCTTTCTCGCCCCTCTTCATGAGGGTCTATTTCAGTGTGGGCAGGCTGATTGTCTCCATCATCAGCTGGTTGTTGTAGCGTCTGATGGGGTCACGCAGCCTGCTCTTCTGACCTTCATCAAGCTGCACGCCTTTCGCAATCACAACTAACTACCTTCGTGAAGGAGTCCTCGTCACGGCTGCTTGCTAGGTTTTCTCGGACAAGGGCTACTACAGTTGGAGGGTCAAGGGTAAGCACTCCCTCTATGTTTGCGGAGCCTGCTAGCTAATCTTCTCTTTCATATCCCTTGACACCAGCATGTCCTGGGCAGAAGATCCACAGCAAGCGTCTGATTTTGCTGTCTTGGGTTGTCTTAAACCAATCTGCAAAGAGGCTGCCGGTCAAGATCTCAGTGAGTCTGTAACAAAGGTAGCCTGTTGGTATCCATTTGTGCAAAGCCATTCCAGAGCCTCAGTGATGGCATTAATCTCCATGCATATGATGCTTGATGTACTGAGGCCCGTTGCCCCAGATGCCTCCTGGACTGTTACTCCTTGGCAAGAAGCTGTGTAAGCCCAGCCCGATTTGATCCCACACTGAACTGAGCCATCAGCGAAGATAATGGTTTCATCCTCTGTGCGGTTCTCTTCAATTAGAGTCTGGATTTCCGCATGTGTTGCTCCTTCAGGCCATTCACGATATTCACGCCCTAATGTACCAATCACCTGAGTGAATATGTCTTTCACGTAGTGCGCAAGCTGTACCCATCTGTACTCGTCTGATTGACCCCACAGTGAGACCACACTCTTCAATGGTCTTCACTGCCTGGGTCATCAACTCCGTTCCCCGTTTAAGTCTTGGGTTAGTCTGACGACCTACTTTGTCACGAAGAGGATTATGTGGATCTGCGAGGACTTTCAGATAAGCTTTGACCTGTGCGAGCTTTGTCTTTCGTTCATGCCGGGTAGGCCTAGCACATATCACATTGCAGCAGCTGAGGTATCTTTTGTGCAACCGAGTATGGCTCTCATTCCTTCGTTCTGGATCACGTCCAGCCTTGTAAGTTGCGTCTTGGACAGAGTCAGCAGACCAAAACCATAATCTACCTGAGACAAAACATGCATGTCAAAGAGCAAGACCAAATTTCTCTGCCGCATCCAGTTTCTCGCCATCACCTTCACTGAATTCAGCCCTTTTCTGGCCTTTGTGACGATTTTCGATATGTGCACCACTCAAAATCCTGTCCAAACACTATTCCAAGGAAGCGCAGTGTTTCTTCTCTTTGGATTGTCTGGCCTTTGATGTAGACATCTGGCATCTGGGCTTTCACTGCTTGATTTCCTGGAGGGATTTTGCCTTTATTTGCTTCACACCATGCTCCAATCCTATTAAGCTCTTTCTGTATACTGCTGGTAATCATTTGTCTGTCTTTCCCTGTGCGGTATGCGAGACCGTCATCCGCAAAGCTTAGTGTCCCGCCAGGGCCTTCCAATTGGCTAGAAGTGATTCCTACTGTATACATGTTGAACAAAACAGTTTCAGTGAGAGTTGTTAATTGGGTGGTCAGTGATTGGGGTGTCTTCAAAAAGAGTAGCATGCTATGGTTGTAAAATGAGTACTCTGTTTCATGAAAAAATTTGATGTTAATGAGAAATAACGGGGGCTCTCACAGTTTAGAGGTACGGTGTTCGAATTTCATTCAGTATGTCTTAAAAAGTTCAAATAATTTGACAGCGACAAAAACATTTCTTCTCTAAAATATTCTCCTTTCTCCTCCTTTCCGGTTCTTTAGTCCTGTTCTGTCATCTGCTTTCATCTCCACTCCCCCCCCCCCCCCATCCAAGCAGCCTCGGCCTCCTCTGATCTCTTTTCCCCTCTACTCTTGACTCTTTTCACTGTTCTCCTGGTTCTTTCTTACCAATGAATTTCAGCCACACCCCTGATCTTAGGGTGCATAAGATCTATCCTCTAACCCTACAAAATAGAAAAAACTGTCACACGTACATCGTGTAAAAATCAGTTTCAATGCAGGTTGAAGAACCTCTCAGACAGAAGGAGAAATCAAAGAAGAAGAGAAGTGAGAAATAAAAGCTGCTGGTGGGAAATGTACAGTTTTGTTTTCTTTCCTTATCCAGCACACACACATGTGAATTAACCCACTTCAATATTGTGACAAGAGGAACACAGTCCGCAACAAAGTGTTCATTTCACTATCAGCTGGCATACACAGGGTCTTCTTCAATCATTGGCCTTACGCTACTGACATTCTAAACCACTTCAATCAAGAAAGTGCATCAAAAACCTAAACTCAAATACTGGACAAAACGAAAGTGCTGAAAATGCACAAAATTGAGACAGACAAATAAATGTGTCACGACGCAGTGGAATCAGGCGCTCATCAACTTTTTGGCATATAGAGGTATTGGAGTACCGTCTTAAAGCTTGTTCATTTGTCTTGCATTCCATGAAAAAATTACCGATCTAGCTTCCATAGAAGATGAGATATTTCAGATTGATGGAAGTGGGGGTCACCTGGTTTCAGGGGTAAAATTAGTGAGAAAATTGCCACCAAAGTTTGGTGATTTCCAAGGCTTGAGAGTCCTCGGTAACTCTGTAAATTTACATTTTTGTGTGCTTTAACCATTGTTTTTTCAGTAAAATCCATACAGCAATGTTTTTTTGAATAGATAAAAGGTGTTGACTTAAAAATAAAAAATTCTATTAAAATTGCCAAACGGGAGAAGAATGTCATAATTTTCTTTTATTTCATTATTTTGACGAGCGCCCAATTCCATCACGATACCGCACATGCATTTCGCAGGTTGGGAAAATTAAGTGTACCTTCGTGCAACATTGATTAATATTTTTTTCAAGACGACTGGTAATAAACTAAGACACACACATGTCTCGAATTCGTCGGGACTCGCCTCGGTAGTTCGAGGGATCAATAGTTCGAGGGACACAAGAACAGTATTACAGCATCGGCTGTGTCAGAGAATCAAGGGAAGCAATCAAGATTGCTACTTTAGGAGCAAAACAATATATCGTGTGATGCACAATCCTTCCTCTCGCCGGTTCCACATAAGCCTAGGTGGGCCTAGGGCCTAGGCACGTGTGTTGAGCAGCGCGCTAAATAAAATAAATAGAACAGCTAGTTGTTTCTGTTGAGGGAGGAAGGTGGCATTTTACCGACTTAGCCTTTAAAAAATTTTTTAATTTTTATTTTGTCTCAAGTGCAACTCAAAAGGCATTGACTTTAGACCTCTACGGCGGCGTAATTAGTTTGACTATTTCCTGTAAAAGAGTTTGTGTTCGAACTTCGTGAAATTTTCATACGAAGGTAAAGAAGAAAAAAAAACGGGACTGCAGGCACAGTTCGACAGATCAGATCGTGATTTCAAGTCTTTTGTGTTCTACCTATCCGTGTACTGTACACTGATTAAAAGGTAGATCACTTGCCTCAATTTATCATGTCCGCAGACCATCATAATTAAATCACAATGCCCTCCTGATAAACTACTTAACAGACAACTACAGAAACAAAACACCAATCAGCATCTCTGACCTTTAAAACACCCCTCCAGTCCCAAGTGCCATGGAATAGGACTATTAGTAATTTATCAAACAAGAAATGCAGTGAGTATGTTCACGGCACTGCGAACGTAGTTTGCAGGCTACATTCAGGGCGCCCAGAATCATCCACCATTAGCACAGGGGCACGACATGAATGCTACGGTTGCTAAAAGTGAATATGAGGAAACAGCACAGAAATACTCGTGTAAGCAGCCATAGTCCGCATGTAACAGAGTTTAAGCAGGGCGAAGGCAGGCGCAGCAAAACAGCTGTGGTCGACAAGGCCTCACTTGTTCAGCATGCGGAACACGACTTCGATTTTTTTCCAGTGTGCGGACCCGGCAACACTCGACAATTTTTGAAAATAAAAGTCGTTCGAAGAAACAAGGGAGAATGGAAGAGGGCAAGGCGGGAAGAGGGGTGGGAAGGTGTGAAAAATAGAAGCTCAAAAGGGAAAAAGGTAGGGGATGGAGTGAGCAAGTCTTAAATTGCAAACAACATTCAGGGCGCCATGAATCGTGAATGTAGTCTGCAAACTACGTTCATGGCACCGTGAATGTAGTCACTGCAAACAAGAAAACAGTGGGTTTTTTTGCTCCCAAAATGACAGTACAATCTTATGACATAACTTTATGATGATCTACAAAGGACTCTAAATCTTGAGGGGTAACTTACCTTCACTTTTATGCGAATGACTTCTTTGTGATCCAAATTGTAAAAGCCTGCCATCCTGTTGTATTATCAAATGCAGTGTTCTATTCTGTTAAAAATCCAATGTCAGTTTGATAACTGCCTTCTGCATCTGCTGTATCCTACAAACATTACAAGCCTCGCCTAGCAAAGGGGTAGAATACCTCGGCACGGGTTAGGAACAGACTGAGATTCGAGGCAACGACAGACTCAGACTGACACCGTCTGCTTGATCGGTCGTCTGGAAAACTGGAAAACTTTAGCTAACAATCTCTGAACAATCAGTCAGCACGAACATTCCCAAACTACAATGACGTTCTTGGTCACAAATGGCAACTGACAGCCACCAGTCCAAAAGGAACGAAGACTTCAACGACGCCTTTCCTGTTTTGGCTTGGTGGGTGGTGGTCTTCGTATCTGTTTCGCTGTCCACAGCAGTCAACTTCATCTTCCAAACAATGTTTACAAACTAAGCCGAGGAGATCAGACGAGCCTCTCTTTTTATTTAGAAAGCTCAACAAATTAAAGCACGTTTCTTGAAATCTGCCTCAGACAATCAGAAAACATTGCTGAGCTCAGCCAACTACCAGCAGATCACATACTCAGAACAGCTGATAATACATTGTAATGTAAGTCAGTCCACATCACAGTTTGTTATGATGAACAGAGCAGAATACATTCGGTGACTTGGCTGGCCTCGATTTCAGAAGTGTGGACCGATAACTCTGAAATATCAATCTTGTACTGTAAACACTAAAGTTGTTCTCCCCACTTCATAATTTTTAGGTCTTTGGAAATTTGAGATAAAGGTTCTGTGAATTTGAACCGAATCAGGAGGGTATAAACTTAAAAAATATATTTTTAAATCCTCTCCCCTGTTTCAGTTTTGGAGCTCATAGAATGAAGCAGTGTAACAAGCATAGGAAAAAATACACGGTTTTACTCTAAGCTGTGCTTCTTTTATTTTGGAGGTACCAAAAGGCCTCACACAATCGTCCAGACAGTTTCCGGAAGAACTGCGAAGGAGGGTCCGCGCGTGCATCGCAATTACATTGTATTATAATGGCTAGCAGGAGATAGAAAGTTAGAAACAAGTAAACGTTTTCACTTTCTCTTGTGTTAATGTCCCATATCTTCCAGGCACAGCTCATCCCATGCGAGAAGTCATTGTAAGTTGGGTTTTTTTTTCTTTTTCTCCGCAACTTGCAATTAATCGAATGACCAGGCTCAGGCCTCTCTCTCCGTCTCCACAGTCAAGCCACTTACAAGGCAGGCACACCAAACACAAATCATAAAGTATGATAAAGTAAGGCCTAGAGTGGGAAGATTGAAGAACACCGGACCACCCCTATTTTTGAGCGAGAATGGGGGCACTCCTGTACAATTGCGGTCCCGTAGTTTAGGGATACTCGCTTTGACCCCAGCAACGATTAGGCCTAGAATCTACTTTTACTTCTGGTTCTAAACTCGTCTAAGTAGTCTAAGGCCACCTCTATTCTCACCCGGGGTGAGAATAGTGCAGGCGAGTCTTTTGGCTATTCTCACCCGGTGTGCGTTCACCGTTATAGCCTAGATCTAGGCCAACAAATTTTGCGTTCACCCTAAACCACGGAATTCTACACTGTGATAACAGAAAAATTGTAGAATTCTGTGCAGTGAACAAACGTTCCATTACAACTGTAGCCTACTAAAAGCGTACAATTTTGTCTGTGGGCAGTGGAGAGAAAGAGAGAGAGAGAGGAGTAGCGCGAGAACTTCCGGTCAAAACAAAATGGCGACCCGTGTAGTTCGGCTCGATTCGAAAAGTTAAATAGCCGTAGCATCTTTGTAGACAACCAAATTAATTTACTTTTGTGTTTTAACATCATTTTTTAACTTTGTTTTGGTCAATTTGATCGTCCACACCGATAGACAGCATTCAGAAAGAGACAGAGAGAGAGAGAGAGAGGGGAAGAGTAGATCTTGCGAGAACTTCCGGGCAAAACAAAATGGCGACCCGCGTAGTTCAGCTCGATTCGAACAGTGAAATAACCATTCTATCCAAACTGGACACACTTCCTTGAAGGTAGAGGTGTAGCGACACAGTTGCGAAAAATTAATAAAATCAGAAAAATCCTTGCACGCTTTCTTCGCACTAGACGGACCACTCGCTTCCTCACTCATACTCACATTTCACAAGAAAAAAAAGTCAAAACTACTCAAACACCAAGAACACACGCGCGCATAGACACTCAATAACTCAAATAACAGCTCTCCTCTTGTACTAGAACAGGAATACAAAAACCACTTGAAGAACTAGAAATAGAAATAGCGAGAGATGGTGGCTCTGGAGAGAAGTAGAACACACAACATGCACAAAAAATCAAAACGCTTATATAGATAATTTTTACTATGCTACGTCACGTTGTCAACGAGATAGGACAAGAAAGCACTGAGGTCACGGTTGCCACGGAATTAGTTTTTTATGTCGTTTTTTTCTTTTCCGTTCAAAACATGTGCAAATGAAATCATTATAGTGTTTAATTTTTCGCTTCATCTCTTACCGCGACACAGGGGTACGAAAAGAACGAAATACAAGTAGACCGGTACGGAGAAAGCCGCGCTTGTCCACGATGGCAACTAAAAAAAACGGAAGTCGTTTTTTTATATGCAAATGAGGTAGAGTTGACTCAGAAATGTACTTTTTTTTCTTCTTCCTTTTTTTTTTTTTTGAAGCCGATTGCATCAGCTTAAGGTGATAGACTCACACTTAACTCAAGTAGGTTTATAAGAACTTTTTTTCATTCATTGGTAATACCAGCTGTTTGGCATAGTGGTTATGCTGCTGGACTACTAATCATGTTTGCTTCCCTCACTCACAGGTTCGATTCCCAGCCACGCCACTGATTTTTCTAATCATGTCATATTATTGTGTATGCTTTGAGATGTTAACATGTCACTAATAATACCCATTCCAGGTGAAGAGACAAAGGAAGACAAGAGGAATACAAAGTAACACAAACTCAGTTTACTTTCTTTACTTTCTTTATTGCCCAACCAAATACTAAACCCTATTTTTTACATATCCCACTCAAAAGTCCCTTCTTTATTGCGTAGGCTGGGGTGGTCGCTCGTTACGGAAGTCCTTCCCACGGCATGTACCCCATACCAGCACACTCAAATTGAAGCACAACTAGGCGTTTGAAAAGAGGAAAGAAGCAAAGACGAACTCCTTTTGTACAGTGGGCCTAAAACAGAACTAATGGTTATTGACATACTAAAATGAACAACCACCAGAACAGACTCACATACATCTTACTCACACAAAGGTACATGAATGTTTCACTTTACTCTTCCACACATATCACTAACTCATATGAACATCTTACTCACGCACAGGTACATGAATTCTTCATTTTACTCTTCCTCACATATCACAACAAACTCACTTGAACATCTTTTACTCACACACAAGTACATGAATGCTTCATTTTACTCTTCCACATCATGTATCACAACAAACTGCGGAGCGGTCATCGTCGTAAACCAATCCCACCTCCTTTTCATCCTCTTTCTCCTCCTCGCTCTCTCCTTTTCTTCTCTTTTGCTTCATCTTTGCCTGTACTTTCCTCTTCCTTCCCTTACTCCCACTTCATTTCCCTGTTGTTTCTTCTTCTTCTTCCCTGCTCTCTGCTTCTCCAACTTCGTTAACTTTTCTACTCTTTTCTCTTCTTCCTTCTCCACCCTTTTCTCTCCCTTTCTCTCTTCCTCTTTTCCACTTCTTCCTTTTTCTTCCCTTCTTCCAATTTCTTCGCCTCCTCCCATGCTTTGTACTTTGCCCGTAAGACATGTATGTAGGGGCCTTAGCCCGCTTCTCTGTGTTGAAACCTTAGAGTTCCAGCTTGCTGGTACGGGCAGGTTGACGAACGAGGGGGCAGGAATGAGTTGATTTTACAAATCAAGGTATTTTCTGTATGCCCCCTCGTTCTCCTTATGTTCGATTTTGTGCCAATGGCAACGGCGGACCCAATGCATGTCTGATGCCATCCATCCAGTGGCAATGGCGTGATCAATTAGACTCAAGGACAAAGCAAAAGTGTTGTCCTGAGGCAGTTTTTGGGGGGCTTGGGGTGTCACCAGAGTTTCATCTTCCAATGGTCTCAATGCCTGCTCAGGGAGACAATAGACATGGTCCTGGTTATCCACAGGATCCCGAGCTGGTGTAGAAACCAAAGGTAGCTGAAACTCTGCTGCAGGATCCAGGAAGTCCTCAGAGGTACATTCGATCCCCGAGAATTCCAGACCTGTGGTCGAAAAGTCTAGGGCATTAACTGACCACTCACAACTAGAGACAAGGGCAGTTGGGGGAGGGCCAGCAAGTTCTTCTTCTGAAACAGAAGCAGTAGGAGCAGGAACAATATCACATGTGGAAACAGTGGCTGGAAGAACATCATCACAACATACATTGGACAGAGGAACATCATCATCATCATTACATACAACGGGATAGAGTTTCCTTCTTATAAATTTGTTTCAAACATTAAAAAAGAAAATTCTAAAGTCGCTCATTTTCTAATGAATCCGTGTCTAAATAGATCTATCTAGATCTATATCAAATCATAGAAACTAAAAAATCTAAAGTACTAAGATGCCATCCATAGTCCGTCGAGAAATAACTATTTTTCAAGTCACGCACCATGTAAAAAATATAGTGACGGTATCGGGTACATCCCTCAAAAATTGTACCCCATACCGTCACCCCCCTACGGGCGCCAATTGTTACAACAAAGAGCAGCGAATGGTTTGTGGCGGAAACTAGACACCTTATAAACTGAATATAAATGCGAAACGAATCCTGCGGGTAAGATTACAGAACCAATAGCTTTGGAGATGAAATGGATTATTTCTGCTCACACAGGTGTCTGATTCTGCTCAAAATTGTTGAACTTGAAAACAAAACAATGTTGAACGGAATTGTTTAGCAGACAGCATTCTAGGTTATCGCATAATTGTCTGGTTGTCCAATTTTAGGCCAAATGCGTGCCAACTGACGGTCTGACGTACGTGACGGTATGCCGTACATAGGCTCTAGATCTAGATCTATATCTAGATAATCTAGATCTAGAGATCTACTGATAAAACATTGATACCGAATATTTAAATCAGTATCGATATCCAGTAGCCTTTGCTTGTGTGATTTACTGCTAGAACTAACGGGACCACAATTGTACAGGAGTGCCAGAATAGGGGGTCGGAGGAAGGGGGTGTCCCCCCTGACAAAATTTTAAGGAGGTGCCTTGATATCTATTTGCAACGCCACGTTGCTGCCACTAGCGCGAGTGCCAGTGCAAAGTAAAACATCGCGTTGCGATGAGCGTCAGTGCTAAATAAAACACTGCCTCGCTGTGTGTTAAATATAGAGCTTAATCTACCTTCTTTGTTACGAGTTCTGATGGCTGAATGGACAGCGCGTCTGCTTTTGAAGTCAAACCATCATTATGTGAGCGTCGGTTCGAATCCCGGTCTTGGAAGTTTTTTTTTGGGGGGGGGGGGGGGGGGTTCATCTCCTTCTCTTCCCGACTGACCAACAATTTTGTCCCATAATTATTATAACTTGTTGCTTTGTAGTTTTTTATGTAGTGATGAAGCATGCACATTCTGGTTGGGCCGCGGCTATTCAAACTCGAGTCCGAGCAGAGCGCGGGAGGCTATTCGGACTCCCGAATCTGAATGGCCTTCGGGGGCTATTTGGACTCCTACTCCAATGTGTGTGCGCAATCACTAGGTGTATCATGTGTGAATCAGAACAAGCATTTTGACCTTGGCCTTCCTCAGTTTCTACGATTTGGCCAAGGAACTTACAACAAATGGGCGTGGACTGTGGTGACCCAGTGCGAACTGTGGTCTTTTCTTTACAAAGTATAATATAATAGTAGGGCCGGGCAGTGGGCAACGGTATGCAAAAAAGGGGTGAAGGTGGTGAGGCGGGCCTGGGGAAGTAAGATGGAGAAAGAAAAAGTGAGAAAGGGGGGGGGGGGGGGGGAGGCTGTCTTATAAGGACTGATTATGAATTTTATGTTTTGATCCCTTTGTAGTTGTGAAACGCAGTGTAATAGCCTACCAGTAGTTTACAATCCGAATAGCAACGGGAGACTATTCGGACGCGAGTATAGACCTCGCTTACGGTACA